CTTTGGTAAAAGAAACATGAATGGAATTACTGCAGCAGTGTTTTATTTGGAGGTGTGATGATAGATAAAACTTATATCTAATGGGGCTCAGTTATTGCACAAAAGAAATAGAGAGATTCAGGACTGTAGCCCTTCCCCCAATGCATATTCATTTACCCGCAACAGGCAAATACACTGAAGATATTTATATCCTATTCCTAATCAAGGGAATCCCTGACAAAGTACCAAGAGTTCTTCACCAACTCCGTGTTCAGCCAAGCATTCATTCATGATGAGAAACAACAATAACTTGCATTTCCTTATGTATCGCCTTTCACATACCATTAATATCTGAAAGCGTTTCACAATGACTGACTCAGTTGTCTGTTTCTTGAGCCGGGCAGGTCTGCAGTACATCAAGGCATTACTGATAGACCCTCCAGCTCCGCTCATGACAGGATTTGGAGGGGCAAATACTTACTGGGGGCATGGATTCTTCCTGCTTGGCTCCTGTTATCCTTGCAGGCCAAAACCCTTGTAGTGACAGCTGGATAAGTAGCGGGAAACTTGACAGGGTTCACAATGGCAATTTCTTCATTTTGTAGCTGTTTAAATTCCAGCAGCACTCCAATACAAACCTCTGGTTTCCCAAAACTTGGCTCTTACCAACCTGAGCCTAATATCCTCCAGTATTAGCCAAACAACTTGTGTCCCTCCTGGAAGGGAGTCTACATTATATTCCAAATGCAAATACATTTTCAAATGTAAATGACATTCCATAAGTCGAACTCTCAGCCTGCTTTGGAGGTTCTTATGTATGGCCCCCACATCCTCAAATATCCTATCGCTCTGGCCTTCCACCCGTAGAGATCCTGGAGCAGCCGTCCAGCTGCTCCATGATCACCTCTTCTCCACCTTCAACTCTCTCGTCCCCCTGAAATCCAGGACCATCTCCAAACCCACCCGATCCCCCTGGTATAATAATCATCTCCACTCCCTAAAAACCCAAACCCGGCTGCTCGAGTGCAGATGGCAGAAAACTGGCCTGACAGTTCATCACCAACTGTGGCTCGAGCATCTCCACAGCTACCGTTGTTTTTTGACGCGCGTGAAAATGGCTTCTGCTCCAACATCATCTTGAAGGCAAAAAGCAATCCCAAAGTCCTTTTTTCCAGCACCCACTACCTCCTCTGTGCATCCCCTCAGGCCTCCTCAATCTTTACATCCAATGCCAAGTGCGAGGAGATCATGGACTTCTTTTCATCCAAAATAACATCCGCCAGGTAGCCTTATCCACCTGCCTCTTGTCACCCACCACCACCCCTTCTCCATCCCCCTCACCCTCCCCATCATCAGCTCCTACCACGGCCCCCATCCTACATTCCTTCCTCCCCATCTCTCCCTCCTCCCTCTCATCCACCATCACCTCAATGAAACCCACCACCTGCTGCCTCAAACCCCTCCCCACCAACTTGCTGGTCACCCAGCTCCAACCTCCTCTGCCCACTACTGGCGTTGTTGCCAAATAACTCTGCGCACACCTCTCCTCCCAGTCGCTCTTCGAACCCCTCCAGTCCAGTTTCCGCTCTGCGCACAGTACAGAGACTGCGCTTGTGAAAGTCTCAAATGACATCGTCTCTATATGTGACCGGGGTCCCCTCTGCCTCCTTGTCCTCCTGGACCTCTCCGCCGCGTTCGACACAGTCAATCACACCATCCTCCTCCAACGCCTTTCCTCCACTTCAGTGGGACCGCACTTGCCTGGTTCCAGTCCTACCTCACAAACCGCCAGCAGTACATCTGGATAAATGGCTTCTCCTCTCGCCATCACCCGGTTACTTGCGGGGTACCCCAAGGATCCATCCTTGGCCCCCTCCTCTTCCTAATCTATATGCTCCCTCTTGGGGATGTTATCCGCAGACATGGGGTACACTTCCATATGTATGCGGATGACACCCAACTCTATTTTTCTACCTCACTACGCGACACCCAGTCCCCTGATGTTCTGTCAGCCTGCCTGTCAGACATTAGGGGCTGGATGAGCATGAATTTCCTTCAACTAAATGTTGACAAGACGGAAGCCATACTCTTTCGCTCTCGTCAACATCTAAAATCACATGGTTCTCACCTCCTCCACTTACCCGACCTCCCCTTAAAACTCTCCGAACCCGTATGCAACCTAGGCATCAAGTTCGACCCCCAATTATCCTTCCTCCCCCACATCCGGTCCCTCACCAGCACCACTTTCATCCACCTCCGACTCATCTCCCATCTCCACCAATACCTCACTCCAAAAGCCGCTCAAACCCTGATCCATACCTTTGTCACCTCTCGGCTGGACTATGCTAATACCCTCCCCGCCGGTTTCCCCTCCACTACCATTCATAAAATCCAGCTCATCCAAAGCTCTGCCGCCCGCATTCTCACCCGCACCAAACTCCACTCCCCGATCACCCCAGTCCTTGCCAGACTGCACTGGCTGCTTGTCCCAGAGAGGATCGACTTCAAGATCCTCACTCTTGTCTTCAAATCCCTCCACTCCTCTGCACCCCCTTACCTGTCTGACCTCCACTCTCCTCAAAACAGTGCCCATTGCCTATGTTCCTCCATGTCTGGCCTCCTCCTTGTTCCCCCAAATCCTCCGCTCCACCATCAGCGGCCGTGCTGTCAGCCACTACACCCCGAGGCTCTGGAACTCCCTTCCTCAATCCCTTCACCTCACCCCCTCTCTTCCTATTTTCAGGTCTCAGCTGAAGACCTTTCTTTTCGACCGCGCCTTTGGTCACCTTCCTCCCCCTCCCTCTGGCTCGGCCCCGGGATATGTTACTGTGAAGCGCTCTGAGACTCCGTCCAGCGTGGAGGGCGCTATATAAATCCAAGTTGTTGTTGTTGTATTTTCCTGCAGGGGAATGCGTGACAATCTGAGCAATATAAGCCTCAGGTAAATAAGCAGAAAATTCCTAAGCAAAAGCTTTATTGTGGTGAAGTTTGTAAGAGGTTTTGGAAACAAAAAAAGACCACGCCAACATGCAATGTGAGCAGTGAATTAACTTAAACATGCAAAAAGGTTATGTTTACTCATTGAACAGAAATATTTATTTCACTCTATTGTCTATTATTCACTCTGAGTGAGTGTTGCTGTAATATCAATGATTGCTAAATTCCTCTTTCTAGCCAGTTTCAATGAAGGCATTGCTCCCCAATCACAGGAAACTCTGTGTTATCTGAGTGCAGAAACTGCAACTGACAGCAGCTGTATTTATCGAGACAATGTAAATTGTGGCTGTTGTGGGTTTAGGCTCTGCTTTGGGACTTGAGTTCATCGTCTATGTTAACATTCCACTGTAATGTTGGGGAGCTCTGTGTTGTTGAAGGTGCACTTCTGTTTTTAACATCTTTAACATCTAAAGGAATGTGGCAAAAGTGCAGATGACTGGGTTTAAAAGATCTGCCAAAATCTAATAAACGGCTGGAACGGGCTAGAGGTGCCTTCTCCTGTTGCTGTTTCCTGTGTTCCTATGTTATAAGTGCTATATCAAATGCCGGGGATAGTATATTAAAAGAGGAGAGAAATAATAGATTAAAAGGCTACTATGTCATTAACCATCAATTTTTCATTTATTCTGACAAAATTTTTAAAGAACATTGCTAGGATGACATCTAGTTCATGTTTACATTTCACAATTCTACAGCAATCTTACAGAATGAACTTTTGAAAAATAAAACAACAACGTGCATTTATATAGTGCCCTTCACGCTGTGCTGTGTCTCAGAGCGCTTAACAGTGCGGAGCCTGACGCCGAGTCGGGGAGACAGGGGAGGTGACCATAGGCACAGTCAAAAAGGAAGGTCTTAAGATGTGATGGGAAGATGGGCACGGAGAGGGTAAAGCGGAGTGATTCTTCCCTCCCACCCTCGGCTCTCACTCCTAGCTTGTTGGCCCAGCCAGTACGATTCAGCACTTTGGGAAGTCCTCCGAACAATAACATGCGCTGCACAAATATAACTTTTTATTGTATTGTAACTTTCAAGAATCGTTACTCGGGCCTTAAAGTTCTCAGAGGCTAAAATGTTTTGCATATTGCCTCCGAACGATCTTTTTTCTCGTGTAAGTGCGTTTGTTATATCTTATTATTATGCAACACTCAATAATTTAGTGTTGGGTTATTGTTGGTGGTGGGGGGGGAGGGGTTAGTATTGGTTAGACCTTGTGTTATAAATTGTATTGTAATTTCAGACAAACTCCTGAGTGACTCCCTCCCTCCCACTCTGTGTCTGTCTGTCTGTCAGCTGTGCAGCGCCTAATATTGGGCTGGTGTTTGGTGGTCTTTGGGGGTTTAAACTGCATTGTAATTGCAGACAATCCCCCTGAGTGACCCTCTCCCCACCCTCTCTCTGCCCCCCTCCCTCTCTACCCCCTCCCTCTGCCCCCTCCCTCTGCCCCCCCTCCCTCTGTCCCCCCTCCCTCTGCCCCCCTCCCTCTCTACACCCCTCCCTCTCTACCCCCCTCCCTCTGCCCCCCTCCCTCTGTTCCCCTCCCTCTGCCCCCCTCCCTCTCTGCCCCCCCTCCCTCTGCCCCCTCCCTCTCTGCCCCCTCCCTCTCTACCCCCCTCCCTCTGCCCCCCCTCCCTCTGCCCCCTCCCTCTCTACCCCCCTCTGCCCCCCTCCCTCTAACCCCCCCTCCCTCTCTACACCCCTCCCTCTCTACCCCCCTCCCTCTGCCCCCCTCCCTCTGTTCCCCCTCCCTCTGCCCCCCTCCCTCTCTGCCCCCCCTCCCTCTGCCCCTCCCTCTCTGCCCCCTCCCTCTCTACCCCCTCCCTCTGCCCCCCCTCCCTCTGCCCCCTCCCTCTCTACCCCCCCTCTGCCCCCTTCCCTCTAACCCCCCCCTCCCTCTCTACCCCCCTCCCTCTCTACCCCCCCTCTAACCCCCCCCCTCTAACCCCCCCCTCCCTCTCTACCCCCTCTGCCCCCCCCTCCCTCTCCGCCGTGCAGTGCGCAGGCTCAGGCTGAGGGCCGGGGAGGGAGGGCCGCTCCCTCGCTCGGCAGCCATGGCGGAGCTGGGCAAGAAGTACTGCGTGTACTGCCTGGCGGACGTGAGCGGTCTGCGGCTCCGCTGCACCGAGTGCCAGGACGTGGAGCTGTGCCCCGAGTGCTTCTCGGCGGGCGCCGAGATCGGCGGGCACCGGCGCTGGCACGGCTACCAGCTGGTGGACGGCGGGCGGTTCGCCCTGTGGGGGCCGGAGGCGGAGGGCGGGTGGACGGGCCGCGACGAGCAGCTGCTGCTGGACGCCATCGAGCAGTTCGGCTTCGGCAACTGGGAGGACATGGCGGCCCATGTGGGCGCCCGCGGGCCGCAGGAGGTCATGGAGCACTACGTGGCCATGTACATCCACGGCAACCTGGGCCGCGCCTGCATCCCCGAGCTCATCCCCAACCGGGTGACCGACCACACCTGCCCGGCCGGCGGCCCGCTCTCGCCCAGCCTCACCACCCCGCTCCCCCCGCTCGACATGGCGGCCGCCGAGCAGCAGCAGTTGGGCTACATGCCGCTCCGCGACGACTACGAGGTGGAGTATCTGCAGGACGCCGAGGCGCTGATCAGCGGCCTGGCCGTCAACTACGACGACGAGGATGTGGACATCGAGCTGAAGCGGGCCCACGTGGACATGTACGTGAGGAAGCTGCGGGAGAGGCAGCGGCGCAAGAACATGGCCCGGGACTACGGGCTGGTGCCGGCCTTCCTGGGCAAGGAGAGGAAGGAGAAGGCGCTGAAGAGGAAGGTGACCAAGGAGGAGAAGGAGCTGCGGGTCAAGCTGCGGCCGCTCTGCCAGTTCATGTCCTGCAAGGAGTTCGAGGACTGCTTCGACAACCTGCACAAGGAGCGGGCGCTGCGGGCCAAGATCCGGGAGCTGCAGCGCTACCGGCGCAACGGCATCGCCAAGACCGAGGAGTCGGCGGAGTACGAGGCGGCCAAGCACAAGCGAGAGAAGCGCAAGGAGATGAAGAACAGCGCCGGGGCCAAGCGGGGCAAGGACGACGGCGGCAAGGAAGCGGGAGCGGAGTTCAACTCCATGGAGAACCTGCCCGGCTTTGACCTGCTGTCGGATCGGGAAAAAGTACTGTGCAATTCGCTCAACCTCAGCCCGACCCGTTACCTGACCGTCAAGACCATCATCATCAAAGACTATCTGCAAAAAAGGCAGGGCATCCCTTCGAAGAGCCGTCTGCCCAGCTACCTCGACAAGGTTTTAAAGAAGAGGATACTGAATTTCTTAACAGAAAGTGGCTGGATATCCAGGGATGCCTCTTGATGTTTAACTTCCCTGAAACAAACTGCTTATTTCTAGTCACGCCATCTCCCAAGAGCTTTTTTTAAAAAAGAGTTCGTAAGGTGAACGTGGCTTGAGGTGTGCTCGTACTTGTTTTTCTCATGGGGTCTGGACGCAACGTTTTCGTAAGATTTGAAATTTTGCAAAGCATAACAGGCCTGTAAACTCGATTGGTATCTTGGAAGAGACTGGTAAATATTTAAACAAGTTCTGTTTGATGGAACCTGAAGTATGACCATGAAAATGCCTGTGTGAGATAAAGAGGCACTAGTCTCAGCTGCTGTCATCGGAGTCAGAATTTAAGAAAATCAGACCTTGGAAGTCAAAATGTCACCTTATCTTATTCCATTGAAGTTCAGAGCCGCACATGGATCCATTCTTGCCAAATCTTCTGGCTTCGTGCCGCAACAATTGTTTTACTAATATTCTAGTGGAAAAAAGACTCTTGTATCAGATTATTGTTGTATTTAATAGGTTCGTTGAGGAACTTTGCAGTCTGACTGATACATTTTTCTGCTTGTTGATTCCGTCACGGGTAAAGATAGAGAAAGGAAGCCAATGCCTGTCCCGATGTAGGAGAGTGGCAGGTTCCACTGACTGATTCTCTTAATTTCCTGTGGTAAAGAATGAGCAAATAATTGTCTGAATGGCAGTTCTTAAAGTATTATTTCTGATGTCATAAGTTATGTTTAAAAAATTACTCATTTCTGGAAACTTGTGTCCCAAGGACTCCTGGGTTTAACTGGGATGTGGGAGTACCAGAATCGCTCGCAGAAAGTCAGATGTTGGATCCAGAAATTCAACCGTCGGATGCAGTACTGCCTTAACTCGATTCAGAAAAGTCCAGGAATTATACCTTTTGACTAATGAAAGATTTCATCTGACTTTCTGAAAGTGTTTGGTGTAAAGAAATCTAGAGAAATTGAGTCAGCTATTTCAATAGGGTTTGAAATGAGCAATGGCCCACTGATCTAGTCTTATGTATGGTTCAGAACGGACTAGTGATAGTTAAGTGTGATTGGTCCAATAGATCAGTTAAGTCCATTCCCAAACCATTGCACTGTACTACCCTGCTTCTACTCGCAGAAAGTTTGCGGAGACTTTATAAACTGCCTTCAGCAAGCACTTGTACGTGTATAAATGTGCATTGATTTTGTTTTAAATTCCTGTATGTTGCGGAAAAACACTGGGTTTAATGCATAGAATTGCCAGTTATTGACTTTGGTGTTTAGTAATGTGCAAGCCTCAATTTTGAACCTTATTTAAAGCTTTTCAGTTTTGGCGCTACCAGAAGCTGTAGCAATTTTTTAGCCCCAATTTCCATTTCCTTCCTTCAGGTCATCTTCACACAATAACATTTCCCCCCCATCCTCCCCACCCCTCTCCTGGAGGAGATGGTCAGGAATTCTGCTCCATGGTGGTTGCTACACTGTCTATTGTGAGTTATGTGAGAGCAAGTGCTGCTTCTCTTTCCTACTTATTTAATTTATTTCCCTCCCCTCTCGTTGGTGTGGGGAAGCAGCTTGCCTTTACTCCATACTTTCCCAAAAAAGTACAGAAACTGGGGACTTCTATTGGGAAACGTAATACCATGTTAAGTCCACTGTGACATAGCCTTCAAACTCTATGCTTTCAAACTCTAGTAGAAAAGCTAGTGATGACTAGGATGAGATTTTTTCAATCAAAATTACTGTATATTTGTTTGCCATAAAGTAAGGGCTGCCTGCCACATACCCATCCAGGTGGACTGTCACCCTGAAGTTGTTTGTGGCATAAAACAGTGAGGAAATAATGCACATGTATACATTGCCATAACATATTTGTTGCAGATTGTTTTGTAAAAGAATGATGTGGAAGACACTTAATGGGTAGAAAAGGTGCTTGGTTTATAGGGACCCGCAATTTGCAAATGATAGGTTCTGGATGCTGAAGATTGCACTTTTGAGGTCGAAGTTAGTAGTTCATGAATGGCAATACATTTATTGCCTAATGGACAATTTTGTTGGAATGGACAAAAAAAGATGGAACTCGAGGATACTAAGCATCGAAAATATTCAAGAAGTAAGCTGACCACCTAACTCATTGGTCTCTGGTTATACGTTTGGCAACCAGCCAGCCAGGCTCATCAGTAGGATGTGGAGGTATTATTCCCACTCGGCTCCCGTTAACCCTGCAAGCCAAAGCCCTAAAGATCCTACCTGGACAAGCAAGTGGGATGCTTGCCAGAATTGCTTTCATTGGCAATCTATGTGGTTTTAGTTGGTAAACTTAAGCAGTACAACAATGCACACGCTGAGGTTCCCAAGTCTTGGCTTTTGCCAACCTGTGACCAGTACTCCCTGGCATTAGGTAAGCACAGTGGTCCCTCCAGGGAGAGAGTCCACTTTCTATTCCAGCCATGGGAATTTTCATGGGCAAGTGGCATGCATGAACTTTGTCTGGTTTGCATAGTGATGGTATTCCGCATATGACAGACACCTGGCTGACTGGAAAATATATATTTTTTAAAAGTTTGGCATTGCAGCACCCCACGATTATCTTTATATCAAGGGAGTTCTATGTGAAACTCGTGTAGCAATAGAAGTCATGGGATAATTTGGTTGGAGGTGCATTTAAAGCTATTGATCCACTGCCCAGCTTCAAGCACCACATCATTCCAAGTGTCCTGTTGAATTCCTTTTTCATGTCAGATTAAAATTGTAACAGCATTGTTTATGTGAGAGAAATCGCATCAGTCACCATAACATTGTGACCATCGTATGTCCTTTGTGCCTGTTCTTATCATTGGAATATTGGCTTGGGGGAGGAGTTGAGCTAGTTCATGTGAGAGATGTGAATTAATTAGTTAAAATGGTAATATGACCAGAGAGTCCTTGAGTTCCTCTGTTGATAATTCAGCTCTTGCACTGCTGGTTTCAGTAACGCCTGATAAAGTGTATTGTAGTTCACTTTTGGAAAGGATACAGAGTTACTGGCTTTAAGAAAGGATTGTGAGATTTTAGAAACTAGATAGATCATCTCTTATTTTAGTGAATTATTTTCTTCCACTTTTTGTCTGAGGTCTCCTTCCTTTTGATGTTGCGCAATATGAAGATGGATGGACAGGAATGAATCCCAAAGGTGTAGGAAGTCAACTGGTGATGTGCATTCCATCTCTATTTACATTTCATTCCTGTATTGTATAATATATAAAAAGTGCCTCATTTTGCCTTGGATATTGAAAAATGTCTGGTAAAAAGCTAGACTGAGTTGACTATATTAGTCGTTGGGTGATTGGAATCAAAGAAAAACAGGCACCTGACACTGGATGTGTAAGAACATGCAAATTACACAAAGCCTCTGCCTTCCACTAGATGACTGGAACATATTAGTATACAGTTGGGAACGCGTTACGAGGCTATAAGAAAGATGCTTTCTTTTGACTTTCCTTTCATACTTTACTCAATTATTTGAATCCAAAGTCTATTACCAAATTGCTTCATTCTTTTACAATGTGCATATTTCTTTCCTCTTTCAGACCTTTTCTGTTATTTTCATTGTTATCCTCTATAGCACCTTTTTGTATGACTGCATTGGCAGGGCGGTGGCATTGTAACATAATTATGGTAGGGACAGGGCAGCTGGCAGGAGTGTGTTTAGCTTAGTGGACCATTGAATACATTCCAGAGTCGATGAATGCTTCGCTTACGCTATTGCATGTGGAAAATGTAAGCTTTCTTGCATTCTGCTTTCAATGAGCACTAGCCTTTTCCCCTCTGGGACATGGAATTGGAATTCATCCCGAGTAACTGGGATGGAACTGTCTTTTTTGGGGTCCTGTTGCAAAAGTTCACTTTTTCAGACTTCTGAACCCAGCCAAAGGTGGCGATAGGATGAAGATCTAGTGATGAAAATGGGAATGGCTTGCACTGGTGGAATGGGAGGTGCCTTTCTCTTTGTGGTTGAAGTTAAAGGATATTTTTGAAGTTGAAGGAATTTTACTCAATTTCTTTCTCAACTTTTTGTGCTGTCTGACCTGGGAGTGCTGACACTGATGAAGTATATTTTCATCTCAGCACTAATGCTTTCCTTTAATGTTCGCAAAAAATGACTAGAAATATATATTTCTAATCAATTTATATATTTCTAGTGAAGGGTGTATGGGATGCAGAGAATTTGCTTTAGTTTTTATTTAATGACTTGCTTTAACTGAATATCAATGATTTTGGTCAGTGAGTGGAACCATTATCTTGTTATCTGTATGATAGAAGGATGTGCAGATCTGAGACTTTCAGTTATCTAAAATCTAAGGTTGTATCAAATCATCAAGCATTCACAGCTAACTATTTCTTTATTGGAATATACATGCAGGAAAAGTTCAGTCAGTGTAAGCTGTTGTTTCCAGTCTAGGTAATAAATTGTTTTTGTTCAGTGGTGGTATGTTGTTTGAAAGTAATGAGAAGCTATTTTTCTGTTTGTCTGGAAGATGCACTGATGTTTTCTTTTAAGGGATTTGTTTCTTACCAGAAAATGAATCGCACTTTTCCAACAGAGTGAGAAACTCCGTCTTTTCACTGTGAAATTTGTACACAAGTTAAGTAAGGTGCTGGATGAAGCCAGTTAAATCATCTGGCAATTATAAAAATGAAACTTCTTTGAGCTATTATTGCCCTTTTAAATTCACAAATTAGTTACTCTGAGGATTGTGGTTTATATTTAGGTGCTGAGAAGAGTGAGAGACTGCCTGACAAAGTTGAAAGCTGATAAAAAGTTGCAGTGATGTGGAATCTTCAATGTATATAAACATCAGATAGTTCGTGTTACTGTATAGTGTTAAATTGTGTTATTTTGAGCAAGGGGATGGTGTTGAAGTTTACTAAAATGAATGAGTCTGCCTTCTGAATAGGAGATAACAGAAGAGCACTGGTGGGAGGTAAGGCAGATTTGAAATTCTTGTGCTGTCCTCATTGGCAATAATATTGGAGAAGTTCATACAATCACCTGTGATGTGACTGTTGCAGTTTATGATGTTCCCAACCTATCTTTTTTCTTTAAATTATACAAGTACAAACTTAAGTTTTTCTTTTATATATTTCCGTTGGTATCTTCAGGAAGAGAGTTTTTTTACAATACAACATTTATAGTCTCACATGATAGGAAACGATAGAGTAAACTTTATACCCTGTTTTACTAGGGTAATCACTGTGGCCTGTGTGCATAACAATATAATATTCAGGAATGTAGAATAACAAACAAACACTGTTTCTATTATATTGATTGCTTTATTTTGGATAGTTTATTTAATTGTAGACTCCCCCCCCCCCCCCCCGCTCATACATACACACAGATTCTCTTATTTTGATCGCCTCCAGACGTCATTGTGGCTTGGATTTATACTCTGTTCAGTGTTTCCACTCAGACATTACTTCCATCAGTAGCTAGCAGTTCTGTACAAAGATGGTCTGGAACACAGTGTGGTAACTGATGGACTTTGAGAGACTTTGTTTTTCTGACTTACTACAAAATTTGTACATTGTTTATTTGTGATATTTAATGACATTACTTTGTAAATGTGAATATTTGTAATTATGAAACAGTCTGTGACCCTTTGAGGAATTTTTTTTAAAAGCTTAAGTTGTAGCAAGTGTGTAGGTTTATTTTGGAAAAACAGCAAACTTAATGTGTGTTTGAAAAGTAAGTATCTAAATTTTTTATTTCTGAGATCTCTGTAAGAATCAGGGTTTCTGGTATAACCCACCCTGTCTCCTCAATGCTAAAAGTTCTTTGCACCTTTCAAATACCCATTTCATCATGTAACAGTCATAAAATAGTGCATTATTTTTGTAAATTTTTATTACTAGATTTTCAAGATACACGAGAAAAATGTAAAGAACTGCAGGCACTTCTTAACTCTTTTTTTAAATTTTTTTTAGATTTTATTTTGGTGCAGCAGTACTACTGCAGTCTCCCAGGGTTGGATAGGGTAATCTGTTCTGAAATCCATGTATGTATTTGTTTCTTGGGGGGATGAATGTAATACATTCAAGGCAATTTATATACTGTAATAGTGTTCTGGAAACAAAAGTTGTGTACAGAGTAAGACACTAAAGGATTAAAAACTGGGTGCGTTTTATCAGTAGCAATGAATGCTTTCTTGTTCGTTATTGCTTATGTTGATAATAATTTCCAATGTTTGTCCTTGGCGACTAATGAAAGCATTTCTCCTAAGATTATTCAAAGTGGGGTGTACCAGTTTTTTTATAGAAAGCGTGAAGCGGAGGTGGGTATTATTCATGGCATTATGTCAGACGCTTTTATAATAGATCACTAGTCTATGTCTGCTGAAGATCACTTCTCACTATGTGTATGGACCCCATCTATTTTCAGGTATTTGTACCTCATCTGATATAAGATCTGGAGAGAAACTTGAATGCATCTTAAATCTTTTTTTTAAAACATATTTCTTTGGTTTCTCCTGAACTGCTTTACATACATTTACCATAGCAACTTTAAAACCATTTACTTTCAATTTTTTTCAATTGCCCATAGTGGCAGCTAGTTTTTGAAATACTGCTATAATAATTTGACAGAATTATTCTTTTGGATACCTTGACTTTGATACTTCATCTGAAATGTGTAATGATTTGAAGGAACTGGACAAACAGTATTCTAAGTATGAAATTCAAAATCCAGCAGAACAAATCTAGCAAAAGTAGCAATGTTGTCTCTTTGATATTAAGTTCTCATTTCCATTTTAAAAGAACACTTTATTTTTGTATATTCTGTATATGTTAATTTGTAGATTCCCTAGCATGTTACAGTAAATTTCTCCAACTCAAATGCCATTTTCCCCAGTTTAACATATTTATTGAATCGCACAATCCTTGCTATGTCTCATGCGAACAAGTACAGTATACATTCTCACAGGAAAGAACATTGCTAGTGTCAGCTCTTCTATGCTGTGACTTGTACACTGGACTGGAAATCCAAATCATTATTCCACCAGAATTTGTGCCAGGCATATCTAGGAAAAAGATTATCCTGGATAAGCATTTGGCCTTCTGTATCTGTAGTGACATAAATGTGTCAACTTAAATTAAATTTCTGTACTTGCAGTACAAATTACCTTTGTAAAGCGCTTTTCACAGCAGGAAGACGTCCCAAGGGGCTGGACAGTCAGAGATTTGGACCTGAACTGGGGATCTGGATAGGGGAGGGTAGGAGGGTGCCCAAAGGCCCAGTCGAAGAGGAGGGTTTTGAGACTTGCCTTGAAGGTGGCAAGGGAAGGAGTGAGACGAAGGGAAAGTGGGATGGAGTTTCATAGGGTGGGGGCTGAAAGCTCAACCGCTGATGGTGCAGCGGGCCAGGCGGGGACGTGGAGCAGACCAGAGCCTGGTGAGCGGAAAGGTTGATATAGGGTCAGCAGGTCCTTATAATGTTCCTTCATACTTTATTAACTTTGAGGTACACTATAGCAAAAACATCTTTAGTTTCCTTTATTTCCTAAATTCGAGCTTGGGAAAAATAAGTATTAGTTTCAGTTTGAAGAACCTATATCCATCATCCACTAGAATTATCATCTAGAAATGTGTGCCTGTAATTTATAAGTTTTATACTGAAATACCCAGTTTTAGAAAAATAACGTTCGATAAGATCATGTTTGCTAAATGTAAAGACAAATTAACTTGTTGCATATAAATCTCTGGAGTGGGTTTTGTTGACATACATATAGAACTTATATCTATCCTGAAAGGTCTTTAATTTTCTCCCTTTGTGAAACTGAAAATGGATGATAATAATGTGGTTATCCTAGCTCAATTTACAAGTGTGGGGAGTGACATTAGCAGACGCCTAGGAATTAGGGACCCACATACTCTGGAAAGTAATTGGAATGGCAAAAAGAGAAAGGCCTCGTCTTGTGATCTTAGTCTTTAAATGTAATAAATGTCTTAAATTCAGCTGTTTTTCTGCAGTTAAGAACTACAGAAAACAGACATTCAAGATGTTGGAAATCCACAGTAAGCATCTGAGATCGTCAGGTTGCTTTGGATGTGATCAGTTTTGAGAGAGGGGGTTCATTGAATGTAAACCAGTTTCTTTTCAAAGTGGATTTCTGTTTTTTTTACTTCTATAAGCATGTTTAATATAATTGTGTTCATGCACCTTTCTGGTCAGCTCCCAATTATGGAGCAGTTGAAGACCAGACCATAATGTAGTCGACCTCCAGCGTATTCCAAGAACCCACTACTGGCACAGCACGTGGATTGCATGAAACGCATCCAAATCTCTGCAACAGGTCCACAGCTGTGAGCTATAGAAACACTGACATCACACAAAGCCCTGTAAATGCATAGCTTTGTAGCCAGAGACCAGCATCACCGCTCCAGACCCTATCAAGCCTAGTTCATCACTGAGCTCGCCGTGCTGATGTGTGCAGACATCCAGTCCACAGTAACCAAAGGAGTTGATATCACATCTGTAGCACCACAATCCATTGAATTGGTGCTTTTATAATCAGTTTGAGGAGTAAGAATGGTAAGATAGCTGGTAATGGGTTTCATTGCAGAAGATGAGGGAGAGGCATTCAGCTCTTATTATGAAAACTTCAATTTAAAAACTCAGCACCTGAACAGGTTCATTCTACTGGTCTTGCCGATGAGGTACTTGACTAGAGAGAATTTCACAAGTGGAAGCAGCAGGAATGTGTATGGATTAGATATCACCTAACTTCAGCTATGGGCCATCGAAAGTGACTTTGATTAGTCTTGAGTAACAAATTTTGCAACATGGACAATTTTTTTAGGTTAACCCACATGAAAATTAAATGCTGAAAATGTAATTATTGAAAGGCAGCTGATATAATTGGGGCTTATGATCCTAAAGATCAAACACATTAGTGGTGAAAGTTACACTTTATTATTATATCTGCAAGTTTCATATTTAAAAATGAACCAGACAGGCCATTACCGACATTATTGCAGAACCCAGTTCAGAGGCAGTTAGTACAAAAATGTACAATGCTCAACAAAAACAAAATGATAGCATGAGAACTCCACAAAGCCACCTCTTTTCACACATTTTAAATGGATTCAAAATAGGAATTTCAATTGGTCACTTTTTAATATAAGTTTTGGAATACAATCATTCATTAGGGCACCTTCCACAAATAAGATCATGGTCTCTGTATAATAATTTCTAGTAATCATATGTATTGGGAAAACCATAATTGCCTCTAAATTAGCATTCCCTTTACCAGCTTGCTTACTGACTAGCAGAAAATACTACTGACAGAATTTCAGCATCAGGCTTCATTCATGCAGCATTCAGGGATATCACACTTCATGGTTTCCAAACCTGATCAATTTATTTGGACATTAATTAAAAAGTAAATGATACTGCCTAATTTTATAGTTTACAATTTTGAACAATGTAAAATATTAGTTGGTCCACAAACTGGACCATTACCTATTATTTATGCACATTAAAGCCATACAAGTGGATACTTTCGATAACAGATACTTTCTATTTGATATGAAGATTGTTTTAATTGAGATTTCAAGAATACTGTTCAAAATAGACCGCTAGCCTGTTTAGCTTGGCTTAGCAAAGAAAGACAAGTCCACTGTAGCCGGTTTACACATGAATGGGAAACAGGTGCAAACACCACCAGACTATCTTAATTCAGAAAAATTTATACTTAATGGCAACAAACCACAGAGAACAAGTACAAATGTACCTCTGTACTGGATGCCACGAAAAATAACCTGTACCAGCCACTGCTGATAGCAATGAACAAGAGGGAAAAAACCTCGGCTTTTTTATTTTTAAAAAAACATCTTGCTATGTGTGGATGGACACATGGTGTAAAAATCTTCCAATACTCCACAGCGACCACAGGTTAGAAAGAAACTGTTCGCCAAAGAATACAGTTGTATGGCTTTGTGTTTAGCTAAACTGCACCAGTCAGTTCTCAGCATTACTCAATGCCCTCCTTGTACAACACCAACTAATGCTGGCCTGAGGGTGCGCCCGTGAAGCTTGTATCCTATCTTTGTCACTATTGCCACGGAGCCCGGTTCCTTCCCTTCCATGGGAGAACTGAATAAAGCTTCGTGCTCATAGGGATCGAACTTGGCTCCAACAGGATTTAGTTTGACTAGGCCATGCTTAGAAAACACTTTCTGAAGCTGTACTTCAGTCATGACAAGACCCTCATAGAGGTTCTTCAGGTGAGGGTTCTGGTCTGTGATCTCCTCTTTGGGCACACTCGTCGTTGCCTTCTCAAGAACATCTGCCACTTCCAACAGGTCTTTGCAGAAACCCTGAACACCTAAAAGCAGAAACAAGAGTCAAAACTAAGAGGAACGTTTCTAGTAAGATTTTAAATGCAAGTTAAATATACAGTAGCAAGCAGCTGTCTAAGTCTGGGGAGGAGAAGTTTTAAAAACTAAAGAGGTATTGAATGGACAGTAGTCTTAGACTGCCTTTTGCCAGCAGCGATGGTAACATAATAACTGTACTGTTGAGATGTTGAGCACCATCAGAGCTCCTTCACAAGGTGACTTCTTTCCTCAGGTTTTGTAGACATCTGCTGTTTACCTACTGACAAGTGCATCCATTCACCCAAAATTCCCCAACGCTTCCCCTTGGTTTCCTAATTGATCAGTACAGCTTAACCAATTTAGAGCTGTAATTGTGAATACAATAATATAATAATTCTTGCATTTGATATAGCACATTATAATTAATAAGACAAATTCAAATATGGATTAATAATGTCGATCTACTTCGACAGTAGTCATGACACCATCACTCCTGGCAGATCAGGATTGTGAATCTACGTTTATAATTAAAAGCAAACTCCATCTACTGTATAGCAACAATCTAGTCAAGCATAGAAAATAAGGTATAGAACTGCATCACCTGACTTTGGCAAAATAAACTGGCTTCCACCAATAATAAATAATTAAATCCAGAGAAGTGCTTGGACATCCATGTAAAATAAACGGTTTTCAAGAGTAAAATGCATTTTGAAAATGAAGATATTCATAGAATACTTACTGACAAGCATGTACAATTTTCCCTGAATTTCAGAATAAAATTTAGTGCATAAAACAGCCTCTAATAATTCAATATGTACTGTCAGTTTTACCTTAAGGAAGCAGGTAAGCAACAAGACAAACTCATTTGTCCCAACTGAGCATTTACCAATCAACCAAATAAAATGAACAGAAAACAGGATACTAGCAATCCAATTTGAAACAATTACATTAGTTTGCAGCTTGCGTTTACTAGAATTATTCGTAAAAACAGACATGTAGTCTGTTTCTTCCTACTATCCCACTGTTTGTGAAATGACAAATGGATAAATCAGACCATGGTAAGACATTTAAAAGCAATTAGATGCATAATGTGAAATAAACTTCACTATTTATCAGACACCATTAAGCTAGTTACATTTGGATGAATTCTTTGAGCGGGAGGTAAAATCACATTAAAAAACAAACCTGATCCAGGTCAAAGCAGAAAACAACTGTCACTCAACACTTCTTGTTGTGCTCCTCACTAAATGTAGGCCACTAAGAACAGCTTACTGTCACACTCAACATCTGTAGGAATCAGAGACTATGTACTTGGACTTCACTGAAGACTAGACAGACATCGACTAGTAAAAGCTTATCCTGCACCTTTCTCCCCCACTGAAAATCAGCCGAGCTCCGTTGCTTTTCTGTTTTGCTATGCAGGAAATCTTCATCCAGCTGATAGCACACTGATTTTCATTACCTTTGATGTGGTTCTTAAGCAAGCACAGAGGCCAACAATTACCCTTTTACACAGTGTGCAACTTTACAATTTCATAGGACATCAGCGATAAGAATGAAATCTTCCAATCATTAGAACAGATCAAAGCAAAGAATAGTGTTAAAACCGTGCATGAGGGAAAAACACACATATGGTCAGGATCAGAACAAAACAGACTGAACAGGAAACAAAAGTAATTTGCTACTGACATATACATACGTGGATAGTGTCAGAACAGAACAGAGTGAGTAAGAAACAGAGCAAACAGTTATTAATATTACAATCATCAAAGACAAAAGTTTAGTTAGTATTGGTAGAACAGAGAACATAAAGCAGAGATTAGAAACAAAGTGATTAGTTTTGTAAAGCAATTAGTATTAAGAGTTGAAAGCCAAAAGTCAAATTGTGAGAAATCGCTGACCAGACATTCAAAAAAGGAATTGTTTAGTATTAGAACAGATAGAGATAAGAAAAAATGTACAAAATGGTTAGTGCAACAGCAGATTAAATGTAAAACATACCAAATGGATATCACAGTCAGAAGAGTTTAGGCAACCAAAAGCTAAGGCAATTCTTGAATTGCATTAAAAGAAAAGACTTCTGGAACAGCCAAGAGTGAGAAACTATGTATTGCAATGCAAACAGATTTCACATTTGTATACATCATTCTGCAGAGCAGTAGCTGTGTGGAATGGACTAACTACCAGCACCTGGATCTAAATACAAACCAGATGAAAGGAGGCGGGTTTCCCCAGCCAACAACTGAAATTAAATTTAAAGGTTTTAATATTGTCCACAGAACAATTATCTTCCTTCAAACTTGTCAATAGGCTGAGACCAGGAAATCAGTCAAGACTCACTAAACAATGTTACCATTAAAAGTAACTCATTAGCTCCATGAATTGCAGAGGTTGAACATACAATCTCACTCCTTGTCTTGCCTCCTTCAAGTCCTGTCTAAAGACTTTCCTCTTTAACTATAATCTAACAAGCCAATGGGAGTTTTGCAAAACACTGTTCGTAAATGTGTCAGCAGCAGTGGAAACCTGTTCTCTCCTGAACTGAACAAAATCTTTTGAAAAGTTCTGTAGGATCAGGAAAAACACGCAGCAAGGCAATGGCTTCTGACAGATTAGTCAATGGACTGAGTCTCTAGTGTATTGCGCTGTTTGATATTTAGCTGCAAAGATATTTTCCTGGAGGTGAATTAGGGTACCGTGTGACAAAATCACACACAAAATCTATTACACGGTGCCAAGAGTGGTAGGTCTGTGATTCTCAATCCTTCACCCCAATGTGCCAAATTCCTGGTCTCAGAGACAGAAAATTAGGATTCTGAATCCTCTAAATACACACCAATGTGCCCGTTTCAAAGTATATTGCCTGAGAAATGATTTGCTATGCTCAAGGCTAGAATTTTGGTATAGACTATACTGATATAGGAGTAGAAGCTGATCAAACTGATAGAACCATTTGCTATGCTCAACATATACACAGACATTCCCTCAAATTCAACACCAGCAAATTTAATGTACCTTTGTACATTTTAAATATTTTGCTTACCATATAATTTAGCTTCTTCAACCAGCTTTTGACTTCTTTGACGGAGGTTCTCAGTATCAGCTAGTGCTCGCTTGTACTTGTCCTACAAACATAAAGCATTGTACTGACTAGATGTAGGATACAAGAGCTTTGAGACATTCTCCCGACCTGAAAATTGTATACGTAATAATAACAAGAAATAATCCTTGCATTTGATGTAGCGCCTTATCATATCTTCAAGACATCTCAAAGTGCTTCACAGAATATACTGTAAAGTGAATTGATTGTATATTTCGTGGACGAAGCGAAATCTACAAAATAAAACATCAATTATTTCACATTTGTATAAGTGCCTTTCATGCCAGGAAGACGTCCCAAGGCGCTGAACAGTCAGGGGTTTGGACCTGAGCTGGTGGTTGGGATCAGGAGGCAGGGAGGATAGGGATTGGAGGGTGTTCGAAGGCGCAGTCAAAGAGTACAGTCTTGAGACAGGCCTAGCTCCTCTCTTCTCTGTCTGTTTCTCACTCATTCTCTCTCTTGCTTGGTGACTGCTGCAGTAGCAGTGGCTGTAATAATAATGCAAATTATAACACAAAAAAGGTATATAGGTGTAAATTGTAAAAGTACTACCGCAATCACAACAAACACTTTGTCACATTTATGTTCTATTTAAAGATAGCTCTTACTGTCATCTCCTTCACTTGCTCCTCCAACTTGATCTTTTCTTCTGATAGTAACTTCTCAGCTGAGCTGGTCTCTTCTTTCTGCTCATTCTGTGGATGCCTTTGTTCCTCTTCTGAGCTTTGCCCAGTGTTTTTCTGTCGAGTAGCTGTGCAGAGAAACCTACAAGAGGCCACAGGATACAAGTCCAATAAAACTGCAGACATTGTATAGAGTCAAGCATACTTTTATGAAACAAGGCATGAATGAATGATGCATAAAAACGATCTTAAAAAGTGTGTTCCTTTATATAACAAGTTAAAGCAAAGACAGAGAAGCAGGTTCCTACTTATTGCTCGGTAAACAGAGGCGTGTGTGTGGAGCAAGGAAACTTGTCTAAAGTTTCGAACCCGGGTTCTCTTGCTTGCGAGGTGAGCGCACTAACCACTACCCTACAGGAGCGAAACCTACAGTGATGCTGTGTAGTAAAGCGCCCTCACTTTTCACAAAAATTTTCATATGATTTAATTGGGATTTTTTTGGGGGGTAATCTGTAGTTCTACTTTGTCGCATTTAAAACCAGTTCTACTGCAGATTCACACAACTTCACAGTTTCGGGATCTTCACCGGGTTCACACACAAAAAAAAGGTACGCGCCACATGGATCTGAACCGTAGGTGAAACTTTTGAGCAAAATAACCCCCAAAGGACAAAAAGGATTAAAAGCGTTACAGACATTACAGACCCAGAGTAAACCGCTGCAAATCAGCAGCTTAACCTGGGCTCAAGGCCGAGGAGATAAAGGACATCGGGTCAACGACCAAAGGCCTGACTTTTCCCTTACTCCGGGGGGGGGGGGGAGGGGGGTAATACCCCAACAGTAGGGGAAGGGGAGAGAGAGAAAGAGAGAGAGAGAACCCCAACAGGAACTGCTCAGTGACCGCTGCAGACAGGGCTCCGGCGTTGGGTTGGGTTGGGGTGTGGAGGTCAGGAGGCCTGGGGGAGGGTGTGGGGCCTAACTCCTCTCCCCCGGCTCTCTCTCCCCCCGCCCCCCCCGCTGTGTGTTGCTCGGTGCCCTGGGTGCGGGCTGTTGCTATGGGTTACCTGCTGCTCTGGTGGCGCTGCCCGGCTCTCAGCAGCCCCAGGACACGGCTCACACCTCGCGCCGCCATCACCGCTCTGCGCCGCGCGCACCCTCACCCGCTGTCGCTCTGACGGCGCGCGCAGAGCGCCCGGGGCCCGGCCAATCAGCTGCCGCCGCCCTCGCTGTGACGTCACAGAGAGCGGAACGCGAGAGCGGCGCCCGGTTCAGGGCGGGGGGGGGGGGGGCGCGCTGGGAGTGCGCAGGCGCGGCGCGGCCCGGGGAGGGGGGGCCGCTGGGAGTGCGCAGGCGCGGCGCGGCCCGCGGGGGGGGGGCCGCTGGGAGTGCGCAGGCGCGGCGCGGCCCGCGGGGTCAGGGGGGGGGGGAACCGTGTGGGAATGTGCGCGAAAAAAACTCCTCACAGGCGTTTTGTTTAAAAAAATGTCTTTAAATTGAAACCTGAAAAAATTCACTGTGTGTGGGGTCACTCTATAAGGAACGCTCATTTGGTCACGATATTGTAAGGCTATTGGTGCTCTATAAAAACCAACAGGAAAGCCGAGGCCTTCACTGGAGGAAAAGAGACCTGAGATTGTCAAGAAATCCATCAATAATAATAATAATGTTTGCATTTGATAAAGCGCATTTCACGTCGGGAGGATGGCCTGAAGTGCAGTGGCTTTGTATTTGTAGGCAAACGCGAAAGCCCAATTGCACACAGCAATGAACCCACATTTTATTTGGGGGATTGTTGGCCACGAAACCAGGAGAAACTCTTCTCTTTTCAAAAAGTGACACGGGATCTTTAATGTCCACCTGAACAGGCAGACAGGACCCCAGTGCAGCATCTCTGAAGGACTGATCTATAAACAGGTGATTGGCATCATTGAAAAGCGGTGGGAATGAATGGGGAAATGAGAGCACTTTACACTGTTTACAACAACAGCAAAATTACACGTGTAAAGCGCCTTTCACGTCGGGAGGACGTCCCAAGGCGCTGGACAGATAGTTACAGATCGAAGCTGGGGGTCGGGTTGAGGGCAGGGGGGGGAAGCAGGGAGATTGAAACCACGGTCGAGAAGGAGGGTCGAGATGCGTCTTGACAGTGGCGAGGGAGAGGGCGAGACGGAGGGATTGCGGGATGGAGTTCCAGAGGCTGGGGGCAGAATGGCGGAAAGCCCTCATGCCAATAGTGGGGAAAGCGAGACAGGAGACGTGAAGCAGGCCAGAGCCCGCTGAGCGGAGGGAGCAAACAGGATGGTAGGGGGTTAGCAAATCGCAGAGGTAGGGGGGACAAGACCATGGAGGGTTTTGAAGGTGAGGATCAGGATCTTGAACTGTATCCTCTGTGTGATGGGAAGCCAGTGGAATTGGGCGAGGATGGGGTCGCGGAGCCTGGTGCAGAAGAGGACACGGGCTGCAGAGTTCTGGATGATCTGCAGCCTATGGAGGGAGGAGTTGGGGAGGCCGACAAGCAGTGAGTTTGCGTAGTCGAGCTTCGATGTAATGAAGACGTGTATGAGGGTTTCGGTGGCCTGTGGTGTGAGACAGTGTTGGTGCCGGGTGACGTTGGGGAGGTGGGGGAAGGCAGAGTGGGTCATGGCACAGATGTGGAGTAGAAATAGTTGAGGGTCAAACAAGACCCCAAGGTTCTGGACTGGCTTAGTAAGGTGTAGTGTGTAACCATGGACGGTGATGCCATCAGCGCCTGAGTTGTGGAGGTGCTGACGGGAGCCAATCAGGAGAACCTCGGTCTTGTTGATGTTCAACTGAAGAAAGTTAGTTCTCACCCAGACTTGATGTCTGACAGACATTCTGTCAGCGCAGCAGAGGTCCTGGAGTCAAGGGTGGAGGCAGAGAGGTAGAGTTGGGTGTCATCCGCATACATGTGGAAGTTGACCCCCTGTCTGTGGTTGATGTCACCAAGAGGGCAGTTGGGAAAGCAAGGAGATCGAAAGTACAAAGAGGAGGGTCTTGAGATGGGTCTTGAAGAGGCAAGGGAAGAGGCGAGGCAGAGGGACTGCGGGATGGAGTTCCAGAGGGTGTGGCAGAGTGGCAGAAGGCCCATCCAATGGGGGACGCAAAGCAGGCCAGAGCCCACTGAGTTGATGGTAGGACGTTACGTAGATTGAAGAGGTAGGGAGGAGCAAGACCTTGGAGGGCTTTGAAGATGAGGACCAGGGTCTTGAACTGTATCCTCTATGTGATGGGAAGCCAGTGGTGTCAGGTGAGGATGGGGTGATAAGGTCACGGAGCCTGGTGCGGGACAGGACAAGGGCTGCAGAGTTCAGGATGATTTGCAACCTATGCAGGGAGTAGTTGGGGAGGCCAACAAGCAATGAGTTTGCATAGTCAAGCCTTGATGTAATGAATCCATGTATGAGGGTTTTGGTGGCCTGCGATGTGAGTCAGTGGCAGATCCGGGCGATGTGGCGGAGGTGGGGTAAGGCAGAGGGGATCATGGCATGGATGTGGGGTAGAAAGGATAGTTGAGGGTCAAACAAGCCCCCCAGGTTCCGGATTGGCTTAGTAAGGTGGAGTGTGCAACCATGGATGGTGATGCTGTCAGCGCCTGAGGTGAGGAGGTTCTGACGGGAGCCAATCTGGAGAGCTTTATCCTGTTGACGTTCAGATGGAGAAAGTTAGCTCTCATCTTTACTGCTATAATAGGCTTACTTCAGAATTAAAGTGACAATAAATCAATATGGAAATTAGTTGCAGTGGTAACATATGTGATGCAAATGTAACCACGTTTCTTCCTGTGTAGAAATGTGAAGAACAATTTTTAATTGAAAGTAATGTTGGAGGAACAAACAGCAGATTAAAGAGAAAGGCACAGACAGTGAGCATAAAAGATGTGAGGGATTCTGACACAAGAAACAGCTGCTCATTTTGTGCTTCAATGATTTAAACTTGCTGGTGCACTGAGAAAGATCAGCACAAGGGGATGGTTTTAGGCAAATGTAACAAGTAAGGGTTGAGCTACACATCAAGAAAAAGAGTTACTAATACTATTTTATAAGTAATGAAAATTGAAAAGCTCTAACAATTAGCTCCTGTTAAAAATAAAACAAATTACTTCAGTACATGTGCTTTTGTTTTAGTTAACCATGATGATGAAAGATCATTCTTATAATTTTTCTGTAACTTTTAATAAAACATGTAGAGAACAAATAGAGTGGATAGAGTCAGTTATATAATACTAGTAATCCATTTAGGGGAACTCTGTCATTATCTCCCTAGAGTGTAGGGTGATCTTAGCTGGACAACAACAATAACAAAATTTCATTTATATAGCGCCTTTCATGTCGGGAGGACATCCCAAGGCCCTGGATAGACAGAGTTACGGATCCGAGCTGAGGTTGGGATGGGGGAGGGGGGAGGGCCGGAGTGGGGGGAAGCAGAATGTAATTTGTCATTTTGACCAGGCAGTTTCTGTGCCGTGGGCGGCATGGAAACCCAATTGGAGGGGTTCGAGAAGGGAGTGGCGGGAGAGGAAGGAGTGAAGCTGAGAAGCAACAAATTGTTCCTGGACCTTGGAGAGGAAGGAGCGTTTGGAGATGGGGCGGAGGGGTAAGCAGTGCGAAAGCTTGCCAGACAATGCTTTCGATGTCAAGCTATTTAGCTGGTTAAACGCCAGCAGTTACCTCAATGCACACTCTGGGGTCTCCAAGCCTTGTCTCTCACCAGCTTGTGCTTAATATTCTCCAGAATTAGTAAGTTCCTTCACTCCCATTAGCCTTACATCTCATTTGCAACTGATATTTGCTACTTGATATTGAAGTTTATATTTGACCAGTTCGCATTCTATTGATCCCCACAATAAAGAAGTACATACATTTTGACTCATTCTTAAATTCAAAGCATGATTTTTTTTACGCAGAAATTCTCTATAAACAATTTTTTTGTTTACAGAGTGTTTGCAGGAACTTAAGCAAATTAAATAGAGCAAAACAACAGAAGATAAATCTTAAACTGTGAGAAACACTGCCCTCTCATGGCAAGTATCTTGAATTGAATCCAGTGAAACTGATGCGAATAAAACCTATTCTCACTGACACGAAAGAATCTGAGCAGTTTCAATTCATGATAAAAATAATGGTAACAGTGGTAAAAGAAAATGCAAAATAACTTTATACAATATGCCCATTATTAAGCACTAACTGATTCGAAATCAGAAATAACGTTACATACGTTGCACACAATGGAGTGTTAAGGGAAGCTGTATAGATCTACTTTCATCCATTCTTCCCTGCTTTCTGCAACTCCATACTGGAGTCCCTCAGCTTTGTTCCCTCCCTTGCCACCTTTAAAGCCCATCTTAAACCCATATTTTTAACTGCTTTTGGACATCTTCCTCCCTCTCCCCAAACTTCCTCAGCTGCGCCATACTCAGCTTGGGCTCTGTGAAGGACTTTGGGTCGTCCTCCCGACGTGAAAGACGCTATACAAAATATAAAATTGTCGTATTGTGTAGGAGAGAGAGCTTCAAGGGGAAGAATAATCTTGTACTTTTTATTCAAAGACCCCCCCCCACCACCACCATAAAAATGTACTTAGATACATATATTGGAATAACAAGGTTTCTTTTGCGGGATTTCTTAATAGATTTCTTAATTCAGAAATTTGGAAGCTACTGTGCCTGACTTACATGAACTTCATTCCAACTCTTATTTACTTTCGGAACGGAGTTCTCTCAAGTTGGAGTGATGTGTGTGACTGTTTATAGTTACTGGAAGGAATCCGAGCCCCCACCGAATTTCATAATGAACTGAGTTCCTGGACACAGGTCAGCCAACTCAGCGCAGAGGAAATATTTCAATCCTTTTAATGAGGCAGAATACCCATTGCCATTTGTAGAAACAATACATATTTAGAGTTTTGGACGGAAGGGTTTTCTTAGACTTTTCTTGAACTCAATGACAGTTATCTATATCAATGCATAGCTTCATTTCTAAACAATTCTGATACTTCCACCCTGTGGAGTTACAGCAATCTGAGATTGTCCCTGCATGCATTCATTGCCCTGATTCAATGCAACGTATCACGTGTCAGAAGGTGATAGTTGTGCTTATTCACTCTTGAGAAGGAAATGATACATGATGGCTTTACACTTGTCATGGACAGTCACAGTAGCATGATCAATTGCCG